ATAACTTGTTTTTTGATATTAAATACTAAACAAAAAATATTTGATTATTTAGACTGATTGTATATTTGTAATGGAAATAAAAAACAGTAAAAATGTTATAACTTTAAATTTACAAAAACGAGTTATTTACCGGAGTTAGATTAATTTTGAACTGAATATATTAAACAAAAACACACCCTTTTGTTTTTTCCTTTCTGATCCAATTGTTGTTCTTTTTAACAATCACCAAATGAGCAAGACTTTGAGACACATTTTTGACATTGATGTTGAACTTTGCAGAACACTAGAAAAATGGCATGTCCCATTCATTCGCCAGTTCCTCACCGTTTTCTGTTGTCACTTCTCGTTCATTTTCAAGGTCGCATTTTGTTCCATATAACACCGCGGGAAGTGTTTCAAACATTTTCCAAACACTTTCTTTGATGACTTTAACTTCTTCAAAAGAAGCACTTGATGTAATCGAATAACAAAAAACAAACGCGATTGAATCTGGATATTGACTTTCTATCATGTGTTTATACGTATCCATATCGTAATCTTCTCGACTAAAAGGCTGTGCAATAAAAAAATAAATGGACCTTGTAATTATTTAAAACTGTAACTGTTGAATACATGTCTGCCATTGGATTGTGTTGGTAATTTGGTACAAAATGTCCGGTACATATTTGAATTTCAAGGCTTGACTTTTCCACATAATCACCACCAACTACCAACACTTTGCACCCAGTTTCAATGTTTTTCATTTGAGTTTAAAGTTTTGTTAAACAATTTTAATATTTTTATTAATTATAATATAAAAATAACAATGAAACCATATTTTAGTTATGATTTATTTTAATTTAAATCTTCGATCATTGAAAAGTGTGATAAAGCTCATCCACAATAATTTTAAATTTATATTTAAAATACAGTATATATTCGATAATAGTCCAGTCTATGTTCCAGTCTTATTCGATATAAGGTCAAATGATAAAAACTTGATTAATTAACAAAAAATACCACATTTTGTTTTTTGTCTCAACATAAATCTAAATTATATTTTCACCGGGACCTACATTGACCACCACCACCTTTACCAAAAAAAATATTTGCCGCGAGTGTTTTTTGAAGGAAGTCCATTTTTCAGCCACTGTTTGTGCGTCCCCATGTCACCCACTTTCCTTGTCCGTACTGTGTGGACGCGGATGTGGTTCCCCCCCGCTTGCGGGGGGGTCAGGGGGGATCCGCGCCAAGGGAGGACTTGGAAAGTGGGTGAAACGGTGCACAAACAGACTGTTTGAGTGCGTCTTTATGAGCCTTCTTTTCAATGCTCCGTCTCACTCGGTTTCCACTGACTCGAGGTGAATTTTCGGCATTTCTTGATTTCGGGAACCAGACCTAATATTATCCCAGTTTCCTATTTACTATAATTTTAATTTGAATATGATTCGAAATAGAAAA